AACACGGTTATAAGGAATTATCGCTTATAAGGAACTCATTTTTCAGTCCCAATGCCATAAAAAGTACAGAAAATTACACTTTTATAACGAACTACAAATATTGGCTATCCGTAAACAGATCACACATTTTCTACTTTCGTTTTCATCGGCACAGATTACAACTTGGCCGAATGTAGCGGATATATTAGGAACAAATAATGACGATGACAGTCAATCTTCCGAAGACGAGATCTATTTAGATTATCTGCCGGTTGTGTCAAAAAATGAAGCTATTGATTGTTTGCACTAGATTAGGTTATACTTTGAGTCTAATGCACATGTTGGAAAAACAGTTTTTAAAAGTTTATTGAATATTGAATTTAACCTGAAGAGTTGTAAACATTCCCACACTAAAATTAGCGACTTCTTCAAAGCAAAGTGATTATTTTTGTGCATGATACTGTATCGTTAATAAATAACAATATTGCATATATGGTACATATCATATAATTATCTTATAGATATATTTATACATACAAATTTTATTAAAAAGAAACAACATTGCAATTATTCCTTAATCAATATAAGGGAGACAACAATGACGAATTCGAACTCAAGAGTTATATCTCTTAATCAAATGCTCTTCTAAATGGAGGACGATGGTAAACAATTAGTTCGTTATATGTAAAACTGTTCGCTATAAAAACTTCTGATACAAGGAACTAATTCGCTATATGCTTACAAGGAACTCCGGATATAAGGAACAGATTTTGAATGTCCCAGTGAGTTCGTTATAAGCGGAGTTTACTGTATATATATATATATATATATATATATATATATATATATATATATATATATATATATATATATATATATATATATATATATATATATATATATATATATATATATATATATATATATTGTTCAAATATAACATTACTGAACGGTTGTTAAGTCTGCTGTCTGCATGGTATATCTGTTACTAATTTTAAAGAATATTAATACAAAACCAGGCTGAAAATTAATTAATGTACTTTATCTAGGTATAGCTAATGAAATTCAAACTGTTTAATTGTGATATGATATTACAACCATTTTTTAAAGCTATTTGTCTCCAGATGAGTCAAACATTTTCAAGAAAAGCAAGACTAAATATTGAAAAATAGAAAGTAAACAAAAGTTTCCAGTTTTTATTTATGTTATGTGCAAGTATAATGGCTGGGTTTACAGTGTTTATCACTACATTTCTACTGCATGACTTACATGCTATAAGGGCTATATAAGGGGGCTATCTGCCTCGTGTGTTCCTTTTTGGTAATTGTGTTGACATTCAAGTACCGTTTGCAATGTGAACGTTACTGTTTTTGTGCACTTCTCAATAATCTACTTTTTAATAAATTTAACTTTTCATGAAAATAGTATGGATCGGATCTGGAGGCATGCCGCTTTAAATAATAAATATGTCTGAAAAATAATTTCAATTTGTAATTTTTCAAAAATAGAATCCATATATTAACTGTATAACAAGTTAACATACAGCGTTTAAATCTAAATTGAAGGCTTGTTGGTATGATCACGTTACCGTGTCATGGTTGTCCTTTACAAAATATGCTTTGAAATTGTAAAACTGTGGTATATACCAGTCTAATTTAAGGTAAAATTTAGGTCGAGATATGTTGAGCGCTAGGGTGTATAAGGGTGAATATACATAATTTATGGGCGAACGGGGAGGAGAAATTTGAGTGAGGAAAATGTAGTCACTCACTGTTTTAGGGATTTTTAAATACAAACAGATATAAACCTTACCGTTTTTGGTTGAAAATGACACAATATTGTATAAGCACCACATATGGTTTATAAAAATCTGGAGACAAAGTGATCCCTGTAGAGTTGACAGCACGTATCAATAAGAGAGTTCAGGCACAAAAAATGCACTTTCGTCGATGAGATTTTATTGAAATATGGCACAACTTTTAACACATTTATAATATGTCAATTTTATTGGCTACATTCGACCAGGAACATGCATGGATGCACTAGTGCAAGAACAAATACGACGTGGCACAGGGAACTTGAAAGAAAGGTTCAAGGCACAACCGGCCTGGAAGGTCTCAAAGATCGTATTCTTATAGGGATGCATAGATGTCATACCTGGCAATATGATTCAAGGTTTAAATGAGGTTCTTAAGATGTACGATCCGGTCACGCTTATCAGGAAGTGTAAATATGTCCTTAATTTTCTCCCTTTCTTATATCATGTAAAAATCAACAAATTATAGGTGCACGGTTAGTAGAAATGTATAATGGAGTTTCTCTAGCTCAAAACATGCAACATGAGCAGAAGTTAATTGCTTTTCTCACAAACATTACGGAAATTTAATGATCGCAGAAAAAGAATCCTTATATTTCTTATAGTTTTGTATAGACGCGTATTTATACGACGTCGGTTCTTTTGTACAATTCCTGTGTTATTTAAATATTTCTGCGTTACTAGATAGACACGGTGTTACAGTCATTGAATACGATCGAGAAAATACAACAACTATACGCTTATGACTCAGGTTTCTTTGTATCTGGTAAAATAAATCTGAAGAAATTCTTTCTTATGAGACTTATAAGATTGGTTAATTGACTTTAAATTGTCTTTGCATCTTGGCAAGACAGAGTCTTTTATTTTTGGTCTAAGTTTCAACTAAAACTGGCCCTAGCTTCCAGGTCACATGTAATGTTACTGCTATAAAGTACACATCTTTTGTTAAGTATGTAGGTACAAAACTGGACCAAATTCTTTTGGCGTCGCCCTTTGATGCTTTGCATCAATGCTTTTCTTGTAACTTAATAGAATAATCAACATCATTGAGTAATAATAACAATATTGTTTTTGTTAGCGGAAGCGTTGATGTCAAGTTTGCAGCTGTGACCAGGTGGGGATTCAGCACTTATGGAAAGAATTTTCATACGGCGGTTATCTATCATTAACCTCAATGTGGCATGATGTTAGTGCCATTCAATGAAAAGCGGTGTATGTTCCTCAAATAAAAGAATGTGTGTGCCCTAAACAAGAAAACAATTGGCGGTTCTTAACAAAATTGAAGAAAGGTCAAGATCACAGTAACACTGAATGTAAAAACTGTTTCGCTTAAGAAATTAACAAATGTATTGACGACAGTATAAACAAGTTGTCTTTTTAAAAAGGAACAGCGAAAGATATGCAATATTTTTTTTATTGTTCAAATTACGGGAAAGTGTTCGATAAGCATCTGCAAACATTGTATCGGATATTTCCATAGATCTTCGGATATGTTCTAATTCGAAATTATGGTTGTTGTTCTGGAGTTAAAGGAGCAGAACAATTTCAGTAAACTGTCTCAATCAGGTTAATAAAAGTGTTTGGTGATATCGTGGCTATAGTGTTTACCGTTACTATTTCTCGAAACTTAAAAAAAAATCTTTTCAGATAATATTAATAATCCATCTAAACATATTAAAGGATTTAAAACGGAATAATCCGCTGTTCGAAGTGTTAAATGTAATGTAAATAATATTTTTTGATTTTTCCTTTTATTAAAGTTTTGTTCACCTCGATGCTAAATTTTCGTTTAAGTAAACAGTCTTATTTTGAAGCAAAGCATGTTTATAACAATTTTCAAAGACTTTTTTTAATGATAACAAAAGCATGAATTGATAATATAAGTGATAAAGATTATCAGTCATACTAATTCCGTTTTGTTCAATTAGAAAGTACAGGACACTAAACATTAAAAATCTAATAGCCGATCAATAGAAATTGAAAACATACGAAACATGGAGACCAACTTCACTGAACAAAACACACAACTGAAACAATCACACAATGGTGCGCTATCGGAGTAATATGACTTATTGTGAATATCTGCAAACGAATAGGATAGTCAAGAAAATATGAAGCAAATATTTGAATCGAAAATAAAAAAATAAAAGACAAATAGTGACACTAAAAACACTTTTCTTTCACTCCTGTCATGATACGATATAGTTTGCGATTTTTATGCTTCGCAATAGACTCTTATAAATCCGAAGTATACTGGGAGAGCCGATGTTTTATAATTGTAACAAGACAACCAGAAACAACAACAACAACAATTATATAAGGCTGAACCCCATGATTATTCCACATCAAAAATAGGACATTTTATCATTTGTTGATGGACAAAAGAGAACTACGAATTACGATAAAACATTGTATTTACGGTTAGATTGTCTCAAAAGTGAAACTCATTTTAAAAGTCACGAAGTTTTGCCAAAAGAACATATAATTTGGATTTAACAGACCAAAAATTATTGTCAATGTACCGAAACTTTTAAAAACTATGTTAAAGAATTCAATTAAAATAGCGAGGATGGTATTTGATGATTAAGATGTTAGCATACAGTTCTATGAATAATTACTCAAATTTTCCCCGTAAAAATATACTCACAGATGTTTCACGCTTATCTATTGGGGGTTTGGGTGGCCGAAACGGTAAATGTATGCGGTATATGTATGCCTATGTGCATACTTTAATTTTAGAATAATGTGATTCTTTGTTTGTTCCTTATAAATGAGACTCGCGACCCCCTCTTGAAAATTAGTAAAATGCCGAATATGATTTACCCATCAGGTAAAGAATTCTTATCCGTGCCTTCTTCTATACTTATTATAAATTAAATAAGGGGCACTAACTCTTGCAGACTTTACGGCCTACCGCCACTTCTAGTCAAATGAGGGTTGTCCGTCTTCCACGTCAGATACATATTTCTTTGTCAATAAGAGACAATTAATTTACTTAAAACCATCAAGATTTGAAGCCTTACCCAAAAGGTAACCTGTTTTCGAATAATTTATTTTTAACTATTGAAATGTACATAATATTGATGTTTTTGTTCTTTTGTCTGCCTTAGCGTAATATAAAATGTTTTTTGTGTTAATGTAACATAAGGGATTTCAATATTTTTTCTTTAAAAAAAATCAGAATGTTGGCTTAAATAGCAAAAGTATTCGTACATTATTTTAAGCTATAACGAGTACAAAATATTGTGCCATGTATGATCTATTTATATTAATGATTACGTATTTTAGAATTCGAACATGCAACTGTAGCATAAAAATAGTTAAAAATGGAAAATTGTTACTGGAATCCCATAATAAAATCATAGCTTATACGCATGACTGTAACAACTAAGAGATATTGTTCATATAAAAGAAATAAGAGCTGGAAGACTAACTTAATCTTTACCAGGTCGCGAACATTTGGGGATAGCGCACCCCGGTATCAGTTACAATGACCCATCTTTTTTAAGTATTTAAAGTTTAACAATAAATAAAGATTTTAATCTATATAGCAAACCAGCGTTTTATCAAAATATTATCTCCATTGAAATAAATCTTGTTTCGAGTATTAAATTGTGCGCAGGCCGTGTAAATGTAGAGATTAAAGATAAAAAACTTAACAATTTATTTCAGATATCGTATGGTCCTTCTTTTATATCACCTACAATGGACGGTAAATATTCATTCCTATGTTAACTTGATATAAGAAGCGTGTAATAAAATACTTCCATTTGAGTATCAAGTTACGGCATTAAGTTTTCATTATCGCTTCTTTGAAAAGCTATTTAAAGTCTTCAAAATCAATATTTTATATTTGTCCTAATTATTTTCAACTTTATTTATTGAATTCATAGCTGCAGTCGTAAATACACGTGTTAACCGGTGAGGAGTGGAAGCAGTGTCAGAATAATTCATTTTGTTTTTCTTTAGTCCTGCAATTTTGCTGAAAAAGATATCACAGAAAATCATTTCTATGTTAAGAAGAGCAATGTTGTGAATCAAACTGACATTCATCTAGTGAGTTTTGGCGAGTTTCTCTTTTTCATTTTTGTATTGTTTTGATGTATATCTCATTATGCCTATTCAAATAAGGAAATAACGCCTTTTGTGCTTTTACGGACGAGCGAATCCTCATTAAACATAGATAAGAGGAACATACATACTTAATATTTATAATATGACCCCAACACCAAATGAGGTTAATCAGAGTTTCCACTTTTCGTATTTATAGGGCTTGAATTCTTTGAAAATCTATATTTAGTGGTGTCCTACATTTTTGAATGTCAAAATTATATTTGGAGATCTCTTAAGCTTTTTTTTATATTGTTAATAACCTGCCTGATTTATGTAAGGATAGGTTCAATTTGTGAACATTCTAAAAAAGGAATTGACAATCATCTGGGATTTCAACAGACAAATTTCGATTGACGTAATGTCTGGCTTTATAAATAGATTTAATGCGCTCATTATTTGACTAAGTTTCAAAGTTTTCAGATAATGTACATTTAATTCAACTATAGTTCATAGTTTAAGTACAACAAGCTTGCTAGCGAGACGCTAGAAAATTGAGTAAAATGACATCTTTAAAAGGTAAGCTAATGTTACGAGTTATGAGTTATTCTATTCAGTTTCATACAGTTTTACATGAATATATTTTTACTTCAATGTGTCAACACAATCTCAATTCATTTTTAAGATTGATTTTGTAACATTGATATTTACAACAGTTTCTGTTAAATGAAGTTTTGATAAGTATTTCTATATCCTTTGAATGTAGGTCAAATGAACCTGTCTCAAGCAGAAGAACAGGACAGTCCAGAGCTTTTTAAAGCTTTCCTTAACCTTTTAGAACAAAATGATGAACTGCCAGAAAATATATTAATGTTTGGAATAAGTGGGGCTGGAAAAAGTTCTCTTATCAATACAATACATAAAGTGTTAACAGGGAAATATTTTGAATTAGCTGTAACTGGACGCGGTGCAACGCAAACTTTAACAAAGGAGTTAAAAAGGTAAGTGTTTAATTGTATGCGGGATATGCAGATTAACTAGAACATAATCAATGAACATTTTTATAACTGGTGTCTTAAGGTGACAACAGACACTTTCCGTGGTACTCACATAAATGTCATTTAAACCAAGTTATTTTAGTAATAAATGTTATTTATTTAATCTTTGTGCATTAAATGTCAGTGATCATCATAAAAAATAACATATTTGAAAAAAATGCCTTTTTAATCGATTGATTTTGAATAAAAATCCTAAAATTTTAAATCGTCATATCAAAGTCATTTTTTATATTTTTGTCATCAAACTTTTGGAAAATAACCATACTTATATTATCTGGAGAACCGTGTCTCAAATTTTTTCTATCTTTTCTCAAAAAAATATTACCTAACGTCAAACATTTTATGCGACTTTTTTCACCATACATATTACGTAATTAAAGATAATTAAGTCGCTGATTGAGCAACCAAAAATCCCTGACACGGTTCCCTCCGTAAATGAATTTCCTTTCATGTGCTTTAAACCGCATGTTAATTGCTTGATTATTAAAAAAGTTATGCCGATTCAAAGTTAGTCCGACCCACATCAAACGCAGTGTCATAAATCGGCTGTTCTCTCTCGGACCCCTACGTTTCACGCTAAATAATTGCATAATACACAAATATCGCACCAGAGAGGGTCACAAGTTGCGGTAACATACTCTAACAACATTTATGACCCAGTGACATCTGACCAATTAAAAAGCTGCTAATTAATATCAGTTTATAGCCGAAATTTCTTCAATTCTTAACGTGATTTACTGTCCGTCTGGTATCTGTCGCACATGTCACGTGACTATCGGTAGAATTAGAGGCACTCAGTGGGGGGAAATGGAACGCATTTGCGCACCGCTAGCGGGGTATTTAATTGTTTCCTTTTTGAAGTTTATTATTATTATCATCAGCATTATTATTGTATTATACCAGTGTCACTCTGCCTGTGTATTTGTGTATGAAATTCAGTTAAAATATAAAATAAAATAACAAAAAACTGAGCTTCTGACAGTCTTTTAAAGTCCATGGTAGATGTACAAATAAGAACGGGATATTATATATTTTTTCCACCAAATTGATAATGCTTCACATATTATAATAGAAATAAAAGGTATTACTCGATCATTATGATCTGGCCTTCTTGACTTCTATTATCATGAATATCATCTATGCACGGCATAGAGATCCAGTTTCTACCGGGATAGACAATAAATTTCATACTTTGTCCTGTGTCCGATTTACTGTCGAACAATTTATTTTCACTGAGAATATATTTTAATATCTTTTTTTATTTATAGAGAAATAATCACCCTTAGACAATCTAAAATGGTTTAGAAATTTGTCAGGGACACCTTACCACAAGTCATATAGACGTTCACATAAAAAATGTTGTCGGTTTTTGTTGTTGTTTTACTTGACAGTGTTAGAAAACGAGGTTGAATGTAAAATAAGCCCTTGAATCCGTACACAATCTATCAATTCAATGTAATATCTATCAGATTAACGGGACAGACAAATTATTTTCCCACATTATGCATATTTTAGCAACTACATTTTTAATCAACCCCGTGGTCGTGCGATTTGCCGCTATGCTTAATTATTTATGTTTCATACATTATGTTACGTATACATTGGCCGACAATTTCTTAATTTATAAAAAAGACTAAATGTTGAGATATTCATAAAAAATGTACGGTATACGATACATGTATTACGAGAAGTATGGACCAGTATGGACCTGTAATTCACGGATATATGGAACTACCGATTTCCCTCATTGATGCCTCAACAGGGGGCGGAGCGTTATCGATAATCGACAGGTTACGCGAATAGCAGATACAAATAGTATAGGTACCGTTTTAAAACGTTTAAAACACATTGTTTGGACTAACTGCTTCCAAAATTAAATCACGAATGTGTTCAGAAAAGGTTGATAAATCTACTTAGCAAAAAATCTCATTTTAGGTAATTTCAGTGATAATTGACTCCGTTGTCACCTTAATAACTGTTACAAATACATATATATTTTATCTACTTTTAGTTACAACAACAAACTTTATTTTCGATACCCTATTTCCTTTCAGGTACGAAAACTGTGGAGTTAAGAAAAACTGGATAGCTGACTCATCGTATAAAGAAAGGATTGTTCGTATGATTCCAAAGTTTCCAAATTTGATAGATTTTGCAGGCTTAAAAAATGAAAATAACAACAATTTACGTGACATTATCGAACTTATCTTAGGAGGTAAACAGCTATTTTGATAATTGATATCATTTAAATACATGTAAAATAATTATGTAACGCAAAGATATTGTAATGTTAGAAACATTCTTAAAAAGTATAACTGACAATTCATTAGGCATGCGTACAATATACACATATACTTCTAGCACTGACAGATCATTAGGCATGTGTCAATGCAGTTTATTCAGGTGTAATTTTACATAAATGTTTTATATCATTATAGTTGGGTTTCTTTTCTAGGATACATCCCGCCAAATATAACAATAGAAGCTTTGGAAGAAATCCAAAACAAATACGGAATGGAAGGTCTTAAAGTACAATACAACAAACAAAACCCTTCGTGGAAAGTCGATAGAATAATTGTGACACATGGTTGTACAGACTTAGTCCCGAAAATGCTGCTAGAAGCATTGAAACACGTTTTGAGTTTATACGATTCGGAAACAGGCAAAAGGCTTTGTAAGAGCATTTTTACTAAATATTCACATTTTCTTGTAAATAAAAATGTAGTAAATTGTAAAAAAAACACATTTGTATCGCACATGATAGCCAAAATGAAAAATTACATGTATTTCTATATTAAAACTTAAATTACGAATAGTGTCTATCATTATAGTATATGACAGTGTATTAAGGTCTACTATAAAAAGTCATAGTAAATGGACCGTGAAATCTTCAATAATTACTTCTATTTTAATGATATAACAGCTTTCTGAAAGTATCCAACACATATCCATTTACAGACCATTGCAGACTATATTTGCTCATCACAAAATATGATCAAATTATTGACAAAGACCAAACAAAGAGAAAGAAAACATATCTGCACGAAAATGACTGCAATATTGAAACTGTAGAGAAAGAACTTCTAGAAACACTCAACATGGAAGGAGCTTTCGATAGCAAAGGACAGCGCTGGGTAAATTTGACAGATGCCAATAAACATGAAGATGCCCAGGTGGATAGGGATACATTGATATTCTTAAAGAAACTTGTTCAGCCTATCCCAAAGCAGGAAATAAATCATGATTCTCGCGGATGGCAAACTAGACTTCATCTCAAATTGCTATATTTCAAGCAAAACTGTCCAGATATGCTTTCAAATTTTCATCAAGTACTTATATTTCTGACGATTGTAGCAATTGTGGTAGCAGTTTTGTCTCATTTAGCGGACAAAGATCCTGCAAATAGCGCCAAATCTTGAAGAAAAAAAACAAACAATTGACAGTGTTTTGTATGTATTTTCTAAAATTGACATGTATAATTATTTCTTGATTTCTCTCCTATTTTGTACTGTTTTCGTACATTTTAGTTATTTACTAGCAATTTAATTTGTTAAATTACACATCAAAACAAATTTTGGTTGAGAAGCTTAAGGACAATATTTTGCTTAGATGCAATGTTCTTTTTAACCTTTATTGCAAAGTAAAATACATGCAATGTTCATGATAGTTTCAACATGCGTTGTATATTTATTGGCGTCCGCGCCGAAGCGCGGCGCCTTATGGAATGAAATGAGATTTTGTGAAAGGGCGACAGCAACTTCTCGAGCCTTTTATTCGGTCATAATAAAAGCCGATCATTCCGATCGGTATGAGGGTGCTTGATTATTATAAAGTTGCAATATGTACAATGAATAGCGACCTGGAGAATTTCGCAATGCAAACATTTTCAAATGAAATAACATTTTCCGTCTCTTCGTTTTTTTTTTTATCATTTTTAGTACACAATGGGTTATTATGGTATGGTAAAATACAATAATGAGTTGGTGATCTAAAAATTTATTGATTATATATAAACATACAATTCGAAAAAAAAAACAACAACAACAACAATAGCATGTTTATTTTTAAATTATCTATATGTGATAAAAACAATAAATATGTACAATAATTGAGAAAAAAGGTACATTTTTATGGTATTAATATGACACTATCAACTTTGAAACATTTTATTTAATTTGTTACTCGTGTTTAGTAAAGATGCCGAGGAATTATTCAAAGTAACAAATTAGATTTTATGAATTATTCAATCGATTGATAATTTAAAAAACGATAAAGAAAAATACCAATGTGCCTGTACATGGTTTAAGAATAAACAATATTATATATTGAAAGATTAACCATAATTTACTGACTTTTTCCAGTTAAGTTTTGACTTATAATCGTTGGTCAATATGACAATTGAATTCTTAAAATTTATTTTACAATTTTAATAAAAAAAAAGAATAGTAAACATAAAAACTCAGTATTACAATAGCACATAAAACACAAAAAAGAGAGGGAAACAATATTCATAAAATCTGTATTTTTATATTAAAAATAGATATTACAATTATTGTATAATAAACAATTATGCTCAACATGATCAACATGGTAATAAAACCAGTATCATATTTTTACTTAGTGTGAACAGATACCTTAAGATGGGGTCTTCGCTTATAGCGATAACATAATAAGGGACAATTCCACAAGTGTCGTGTTGATCATGAGTTACACATATGGATTATAAATGATTGTATACATGTATATCCGTTGTTATTAATAATCACGATCATAAAGAAATAACAAGTAATATTCTAATCTCTAGCATGCCAATCAAAGTTCATAATGAACAATGTCAATCGTCTGTTCATTCTTGTAAAAACCAATTAACCATTGAAAAGTTTATAAGAATATCTTGTCATCATATGTCTACTAGTTCATCTTCACTTTCTGCATTTCTTGCTTGGACACCCTTTGATTCTTTGCATCAATGCTTTTCTTGTTACTATTGTTATACCGCTAATTCACATGTGTGTGCCACATTGGAGAGGTATGGGTGAATGATGTGATATCTGATAAATGAAAATCCAAGATTTGAATTTGCGAAAACAATAACACTTTATCATGTGAAAGTCATGATGGAATATGTATTTATATTGCAATACATCAGTTTAAAGTAATATCAATATCTAAATAAGCAAACATATAATAATTATGGTGAGTTTAACAATAATAGCTTTGCATTTAAGACGATACCCAGATATTTATCGATGTTAAAAATCCTGTATAAAACAGTTTTAGTCAAATATTTCAAAATAACTATATCTAATATAAATTCTGTTACATTCTATGTACTTGCTGTTATTGTTTGATTCTCTCTGCATGTGATTTATGTTGGGACTTTTTATGATAAGGTTAACAATATCATTGCTTTCAAATGGAAATGAAAATGAGTTTTTCTATTGTAATTAGTTTTATCCCATACGCTTCTTTTTATCGGAATATACACTCTTGAAAGTAAACATGAAAGCAATATATTGACATATTTGAAAAGAATGGGAAATAAAATAACCTCATATTTATTGGATTTCGATAAGCAAGAAATTTTACACGAAACGGATCAAAGAGTGTTTAATTAAATTTCAAACACAATCGACTAAAATAACTATACACCTAACTACGCTAAAATTATTTTTTTATATTTTATTTTAAAATGTAAATATTTTTGGCAATCTATGTAATTAATATTCGTGTATTAGCAAGAACGCCATTGAATCATGGCATTTGATCAATAAATGTTGTAACATACGTGACCTACTTGTTAGTTTGCTACGCAGTAAAATTTAAATTGTAAAAAACCCATACACATCAGCGTGTATTCCATGATATCATATTACAATAGTAAAGTTATAGTTTGCAAAGACGATACTTTAAATAACGCTTACGCTCCAATTATTATTATTTAGGCCCAATATTGTAAATTGTCAAGGCTATGTCACACTAAATCAAAGCACAGAAGGCGCTGAATTTGTTTGGGTCTCAGAATGTCAGTGAGATTATAAAACCATTTTGTTTGTTTAGTGTCACCAATGCTGATTCCAGTGTTATAGCTATAGTAAATTGGCTATAAGACTAATTGTAACACTGATACTCAATTCAATGTGTATTTGGCTTAAACAATTATAATATAATTATAAAATAAAAATAAAAAAATAAAAACATGAGTTGTGGTTTGAACTCCAGACCTCTTGCTTCCAAAGCGAGCGTGTAAACCTCTCGACCACGGAGAGTTTTTAGATAACAGCCTAAAGAATACCATATTATTCTAAATTAGAGTTTGTAACCCTTATTAATTTATATAACCCTAATTAAACCTGTTGTTTAACACTGAAGTAAATACTCATGGATTTGAATATATTAAGGAGACAGGGGACCTAAAATTGAACAATTTTGTATTTCAGTGTGGCCAGAAACACAATTCCAAATATTTCAAATTCTGTTTCACAGGCAGATAATCAGTTGCACAGCATTATCCAATGATATATGACATACATTGAAGAAAATAATAGTTTGCATGCATTGCTCCTTACATAAATGACTGACAGAAATTAATGTTTACCCCAGCCCAGTCTAAATCACACCTAAAATATACCAATATGGGCAATCTTCATGAAGGTGCAGCATACTCTAAAATCCGCCCGATTCCTTTAAATATATCGCTAACACGCAGTGCAAGCTATGGCATTTTCGAAAATGACCAATAAAGTGTCTGTCATACGTTTATATTTTTTCACAAATCTTATGTGAAATTTCTTACTTGTTTGGCGCCAACTGTCAAATCTTGATTTTTAACTTTTTCACCTCCATTCGGAGAGTCACAAATACATACAAAGCTACCAACATGCTTAGTTTCGGGTAAAGCACAAAAATACTTCTCATTTCCTACACACAAACAAGAAAGAATTAAAATGACAGAGAAATTTCAGAAGTTTCCATGCAGTACCTCCAAAAACACCATGTCTGAGTTATTAAAAAAATTTGATCGGGGACATCATTCGGATATGTCCCCTGCCCCATAAGCATGCTTGTCTATAAGAGTAACACAATATTAGAATTCTTCGAACAATCGGGAACTATTTGTTTTCGTTACGAAAATTAATGCGCCTGTCCTTTGACAATCTTTACGCAGTGATCTCCCCTTAATTTTTCTGCGTTAATGTACATATGAAGGGAAGTAGCCGCTTCGAGGAGTTTGCACTGCTTTCGGCATTTGCAAATAAGAACATCAGGATCTTTGATGTTATGGCACAAGAAACATAGACAAATGTCCAGATATACTCATGTAGCATATAATGGTACATGTAATTACTACATCATTTATTTGTAAAATCAAGGACTGACAATAACCTTGCTAAAGAGTCACCATACAGTAACATACTAAAACAATTCTTGTATCATAGTTTGGAGACCTTTCTGTTGAAAATGTGTCAGGGTTAAATCGTATACATATACATGCACAGTGCGTTAACTGGAGTGCGGGTATTAGTTACCCGCACTCCAGAGAATGCCCATTGATTGGCTCATTTTTGCTGGGGTTTACATATTGTGACGGCAGAGAAAGAGAAAGCGACAGAAATGTCATATTCATATGTTCGTTCATTGGTTCATTTTTGCCGGGGTTTCATATTGTGACAACAGGGAACGTGTTTTTATGTTTGAATATGATACAAAAGAGAAAGAACACCAAACCACTCGGCAATCTGATTAATACTCGGGGGCTACGCCCCCTCGTACAAATCAGATAGCCTCGTGTTTCGGTGCTCTTTCTTTTACATGTTTTCATTGACACTAAATATACAAATATGGAGGTGAGTGTTTAATGAAATTTAGATTATGTGCCACAGATGCTCTGGCTTTTACATCAGGCATTTAAATATCATGTTTCAAATACATAACCCTCACATATATCATCAAACCATATATTATTAATCAATATTCCGTCTCATAAACTGATATAATAATATGAAAGTTATAAAAATGTAAAATAAAAACAAAATAAAGATATTAGCATAACACAGAATCTCTTTTATGAACGAATATATTGATGTCTGTCTTATATAACTAGTTATCATTTAAAAAGAGGTACCATGACAGTTTTTCTGTTGAAATCAACCGTATAACTGAGAAATTCGTTTTCTAAGACACTATTTTTTACTTGAGAAATAAGTTCATGGGCGCCGCCATTTTGGCGTTCTTTCATTCTTGCGAGACAGACGAAACCGAGATTATGACGTATAGGTGTACACGCTGGTACAGCAGAAATATATCTTGATGAAGAAATTATTTATCTTATTATGTACATTATAATCAAATACATGCATGTATTAAAATGATTTAACGAAAATGCAACGACAATATTAGTAATAAGAAGTATAATATGCAGATACCGATATTGAAATTATTGCATGTTTCGGACTTTGTCAAACTGGATGTTTTCTCCGATAAAGATGGCTGTTACATGTATTTTAATTTAATAATTATCATTATCTTCCAGTCAAGTTTATGAAAACATCGTATTGAACTGAAATGCTTTAAGTAATAAATTAATTAATTAATTGAATACGCCTCGAAATTAATTAACATTTGCCCGATGATAAAGCTTGCTGATGATCCCTGACCACATGATTTAAGCAATGACTGCTTAATATTCAAAGATAAACAATTTAATTTATTTGGTCAATTTAAGTTGGGTACTTTAAGTAAAAAAGAGAGAGAAACTCCTTCAAATTGACAATAAATTCTTTCACTTTGTACTTAATTTCGCTCGACAAGCTGCCCTTTGTGTACATCGCCGGTCATGTATCTGTTTTCGGCGTATACTCTCAACTAAATCCAATAATATATATCTTATGCAGAGATCTTCCGAGGGCGCGAT